AAACTACCAGCATGATACCTAAAGGAAAATTTAACTCCCGTTTGTGTTTTATCCTAGTAAAACACTGGATATGGCAAAGCAAGTTGACTATTATTTCTTTTGAAAGATCTGTAATAGAATATAGACAATAAATCTCATGTCAGCAAATGAGCTTGTCAGCAAATAGTACATTCACTGAGGAGAATAACATGTATGTATGAAAGCTTTCATACCTGTGCAGAATAAGTTGTTTTTTTTTCCCCAAACAAACCCCATGTTCATGGCAAATGAGAATACTGGTAGTGTACCTTTCTCTCAACATAAGCAGCATTTCAGCTAAGAACTAGAATAGCTTCAGTCACATTAATCTTCTGCCGGAAAATTGAAACAATCTTTCTAATGCAAAAAGTTTTGATATTTTTTTAATTGACTTTTTTATTATATTTTTAAGACCTTTACCTTAATTCTTGGAGAGGATGTATGTATGCTTGTGTGTGTGTATGTGTCTGAGTAAAATAACAAATAAAATACCTGGTTGTAGTACTTTGTCATCTGTTATTTCTCCATTACCACGGAAAAAGAAAAGTTGCCATGTTTTCCACTTTTGAAACTGCAGTGGTAACTTTCTTGTGTGTACTAAATAAACAGATATTCAAACCACTAACTTCCCTCTAATGGTTTTTTCTCTGTCAATACTGAAACCACCCATGTTTCAATACGTTTGTGAGTATTTGTAAACTCTTAAGAGGCAGTCGTTTAGTAGTAGTAGTAGTAGTCCTTTTACAGCTGTTTGGATTGCATTTGGAAACGAACAGATTAAAAAGATGTTTGCATTAAATCTAAACTTTGGACAAAAAATAATATTGAACCTCTTTTCTGAGGGAGGAGAATATCTTTTGGCTGCTTAAGACAAGAAACTGAGCAGGAACAGTGTAATAATCTGTCACTCATTCCTACCTCATGTGAAGAGAAAGATAAGCTGTGAAGGTTGTTTCCCTTTTTTGTAACAGGTCCATCCTGGCAAGACAGACGGCAATGCCAGCAGAAGCCAAACAGTGTGATGCCAGCAGTGTGGTATGGAGGATGGTACTCTATGAACTCCTGACTCCCCACCTGCTGGGTTGGGAAAGGGTCTTGCAGTCTGCCAAAGTCAATACACTGCACCATTTAATGAGTTTTACCTGTAACCAGGTTTGTGATGCTATTCTGCCTAGATATGATAAGATGTGGGTGTCAAAATCCTGTCTAATTGGCAGTACGCTCTGTGGTTCAGATACCCGCAGCCTGGTGAAGTAGGGATTGGTGGAGAAGAGGATCTTGGGTGGATGGCACGTACCAGCTATGGTGGTGTGCTCAGTGCTGCTTGGCTTGGAGAAAATTTGCACTTTGCTTCTAGGAGCCATTGCTCAGAGCTGCCTTTGGGCCAAAAGGCAAGTGGGACTTGGAGAAATGCTGCTTAACTTGGAGTAAGTCCAGCACAAAATCCAGGTGGGATGGCTGTTACATGGCCAGGATTCCCAGTGCTTACCTGTTTTACCAAGGGCTAGACTACCTGGGCCTCCAGAGCCCCCTTGCACTTCTTTCTTCAGGCCCAGTCATGAATTCATCTCTACTTGCAAATATCCTATCAGTTGAGGGAATCCTGCGCCCTCTTTGAAAGGAGCCCCAGCACCCAGTAGTGCAGGGAGAAAATACCCTGAAGATGGATGAGACCTTACAGGGTCAGAAGAAACTGGGCAAGGCCAGTATGAACCAAGCAATGACACAGTTCATAAGTCAGCTTTAAATTCCTTTACCATGTTTTCTGTGGTAAACACTTGGAGGAGTCTGGTATCAGGTGAAGCTATGTCCAGGATATTTAACAAAGGGAAATGAGAAGGTGCTCATTTTCTAAAGTATCACACACACAGAGGAAATTCTACAGTTTAATGCCAGATAAGAATAGATAGTTCAAATTTGCAATCAGTGAAACATAATGATTTCTAACGTGCAACTCCACTTTCCTAGGAATACTATTTATAAAGTACAAAACTGCAAAGCTTTTTTTCTATCAGCAGCCTTATTAAAAATACCATTTTATACTGACAGCTTTCTGTAATCATTACAAAGATCAGAAGATGTTTTTAACAGAAGCTTTCCTTTACCAAGCAGCCTTTGCCTTGTATCAGCTGTCAGAGAATGACTGAAAGCCTTTTGTAACACAGACGTGCCAAATTTTAAACAAACCCACAGCTCAGCAATGCAAGACAACACACTTAGTGTTTCTGAGGAGAGGAATTAGTTTAAATTGGTTTCTTTGTTCCTCCCTAAACTCAAATGCTGTTGACTGAAGGATGTTGTACTAGAAATGCTAATAGTCACCATAACTTAAAGACATAAAGGTGTGGGTTTTTTAATTTTACAATTATAAACATAATACTAGGGAGGGGGTGTGGGGGCTTTTTTCTTTTCTTGGCAGGTTTTGGGTTCTTTTTGGTTGTGGTTTTGGGGTTTTATTCAATTAATTGTAAAGGCAACTCTGCTCAGGATCAGTTTGGGACCATGTTATATATAAGTGCACAAACACACTGACTATCATGATATTACCAGTTTCTGTTTCAGAGAGCTGCTGGCAGTTTAGTGTGGTTTTTCTGCAAATGTGTGCTTCCAGAGGGCTCCCTGATCCCTCAAAACAGCCTGCCTCAAAACAGGTGTGTCACTGAGCTCACACAACCACGGTGAGGCCCACCGTCATTAGGTATCTTGGTACATGTCTGTGCAGTGTCTGGTGACTGTATCACCAACTGTTATTTAAAAGGAACAAATGGTTTGGGGCTCTTCCTATATTACTGGAAAGTTGGCAGCCTTTTCTCTGTCTTTTCTAGCTGTCTCCCTCAGTCTGCATGCAGAACAAGGGTTGATGCACTTCCAGAAATCTGACTTCAGATGCAAAAATAATTCCTCTATTCCATACTACTACAAACTGACAGGTGAAAACAGATAACACTTCCTAACCAGAAAACTTTGCAGAAGAGTTGAAAAAATGTTAGCACATAGATGCAAAATCATGTGTTAGAAAGGGACAAGCTTGGTTTAGGCTTGGAGTATTTTGTCAAAAATGAAGCACACAACGACCTTCTAATTCATGCAAGGGGGACAAGCCTTTGGCAGCTGATTTCAGATGGAATAAGCTTTCTGCTCATTCAGGTAGGTGAGAAGTTTTCAGGCAAGGTCCATCCAGCTTTTTGCCAAGTGTATGTATAAGCTATACAGTAAATCAGCCTCCAGCACACTATTTTCAAGGGGGGAAATTATGGGTAATGTGTAGAAACTAAGGTATACACAGTGTGTTGCTTTTTAAATAAATAGCAATCACTCCATCAGCAATTCATACAAGCAGTATAACAGGGCACTACTGTTTAGCATGCCAGAGATGCTCCATGGAAATAGGAATTATTCCAAGACTGCCAGATCAGTACTTCATCACTAGTACCTATACAGTTCTGGTTTAAAACAAAACAAAACAAAACAAAACAAAANAAAAACAATATGAAAGAGAAGGACACAATCTTTGAGAAACGAGATACAGTAATTTGATCAGTGTTCAGGCAGCATGTGGGAAGAAGGCAGCAAAAGATAGGGACCTAGCCAGGGATCAGTGAGCAGATGGCTCCTTCCAGAAATCCTTGCAATGAAGATGAGCAGTCAGTCTCTTCCTCCTGCTGCCATGACACTTCTCTGTGCATAACACCAAGAGAGATGCTGTACCTAAGGAAACCTCAAGCAGAGTATGCCAAGCAGGCAGAAGGTCAAGACTTGCAAAGAACCAAAGCTGCTTCCTTATTTTTATAGTGCCATAAGAGTTTTTGTTCTATACAAACATTTTTAAAGAAAAAAATAAAAGACAGAATTAAAAACAAAACAAAAAAAGAACCTTGAGACTGCACCTATTTCTTCTCATGGTTTTGTTGTTGTGGTTTAATCCTAGCCAGCAACTAAGCCCCACAGAGCCACTAGTTCACTTCCGCCCAGTGGGCTGAGGGAGAGAATCAGAAGAGTAATAGTGAGAAAACTCATGGGTTGAGATAAAGACAGTTTAATAGGTAAAGCAAAAGCCACACACAAAACAAGGAATTAATTTACTACTTCCCATGGGCAGGCAGGTGTTCCATCATCCTCAGGAAAGCAGGGCTCTGGCATGTATAACAGTGACTTGGGAAAGACCATCCCTCCGAATGTCCTCCCCTTCCCTCTTCTTTCCCCAGATTTATATGCTGAGCATGATGCCATATGGTAGGGAATGTTCCTGTGGTCAGTGGGGGTCAGCTATCCCAGCTGTGTCCCCTCCCAACTGCTTGTCCAGCCCCAGTCTCCTTGTTGATGGAGTGGTGTGAGAAGAAGAAAAGGCCTTGACTCTGTTCAAGCACTGCTAATAATGAAAGACAAATCCAAAATAGAGCTCCATACTGCTATGAAGAAAATTATCTGAGATAAAACCAGCACAATTGTACAGACAACCACTTTGTGGCACCCACTGAAGGAAAGGTGTGGGGTTTTTCCTTGTCAGTTGATCCCTGCTGTGTGTTGCTCCACTAGCTGTGTGGTGGTTGAAGCACTTTGTAGAGAAGTAGGAAAAAGGATGGAGAAAATGTGAAAACTGGAAGTGTACGGCTGTTTTGGCTGTGAAGATGCATGTGAACAATCATACAGCTTGAGTATCCATGGTGCTGCTGCAGCTGGAAATCAGACAAGTTCCTTCCTGAAGGTAGTGAGGCACTTGGGACATGAGCTGCTCCAGGGTCACATAAGGAGTCAAGAGAGCTGCTTCAACTGATGATCCTGGATCCCACTCCTCTGACATTGGCTCTAGCACATGCATACTCTTTATTTCCTTGAGTCAAGGAGCTAGGCAAGGATGGTGCCACCTGCAGTGCTTTGAAAGGAAAAACCTCACTATGAAGCAGATATTGTAACAACACTTTCTGATTAACCTTCAGTTTCCTTCAGTCTTCCTGCTTGTTTTAAATTTGTATCTTCTTTTCCTCCAGTTTTCCAACAGCAGTTCAGTGGCCAGCAAAATGGCAGTCACCTCATTTCCGTGGTCTTAGCTACTGGAACTTAACTGGTAAGCAGGGAAACTCCTAATTCCTCCAGCAATGCAATGTGCCAAGTGCAAATTGTTAATTTAAGTGTATATAAAATCACTTCAAAGCATGAAGGAGGTGCAACTCTTTCCATTTTACAGACACAGGAAGAGATTAAGCACTGGGTAGGAGCCTCAGCTTTGATTGTTAGCAGAGTTGATGATAAAATCCAATGCACTGCATCCCAGGTTTTCTGCTGTAATTGTGGTGCCTTTTGGGCTTTCTCTAGAGTAGAAACTTTTAAGTGCATAAGAAGGATGTGCCATATAATGAATTGTAATTAAAATCTATTTTAAATTGTGTGCACACTTAACACCTGCTCCATTTGTTGAAATTGCGCAGGAGGAAAGCATTCTCAAAGATGAGGGAAAGGAAGTGAAAAGCAAGTGAAAGTGGGAGACTACTTTACAGGTGCTATTCACAGTAATTTGAAAACTGCCAAAAAAGACTGTGGAGCCCATTTTAAAAGGTGACTGGAGGCTCTCCCACGGAAGTGAGGAAGTGAGGAAGCACCTACTGACCATCAGTGGGACTTAGGCTCCTACCTGTCTTTGGGGTTTTAAAAAATAACTGTACTTGGTTAGTGAGTCACTAACAAAGGTAGGCTTCAGGGTGTACATCCTAGTAGGCTTCAGGGTGTACATTTTCTTTTAGCGAGATTCCAGCATAATGTAGACTCCATTTTTTGGTCCAAGTGTGGCTTTTGATTTGAGCTGCAAAGGAATCTGAAAGAAAAAAGAGCATCTTATGTACAGTTGTATGTGTTTGTTTCTGTGTGTATAACAGCCCCACAATACAGACAGCCATTTTTGCTGGGGGTTCAGTTCATACCATGATTACTGCAGAAGCTGTAAAGTACTTGTTCTACAGTCAGCTGTGCTAGTATAGTATTAAATAGAATCTACACCCAGAGGCTGAGGCAGTGGTTGCCCAGGTATACTGTAGATCTGAACAGGAAGAAATTAGCTCTGTAAACTCTAGAGCTGCTGAGTGAGTGCCAGGTGCAATGTACATAGCAATAGGTATATACTAAAGTGCTGAGATCCTATGAAATATGTACACTCATTCTCACCCTCTATAAATCAAGATATTTTGACTGTGATGTTGCTATACTGCTCTCCACTAAGGTAGGGCTGTGTCACTATTTCTTTTGTTGGAAAAATTACATATCTTGAATCACTTTTTTATTAAAACATGCAGTCTGGGCCTCTTGTCCTTCCTCATTATGAAAGTGTCTCCAGCAGTTTTCTCAAATGAAGTCACAAAGGCAAATCAGTTGTCCTCTGTCTAAGACACACTGTCAACTCTCTCAAGTTGACGAGTCTGATCTTTTAGCCTCTCTGTATGTACAAACCTCAGTCTCTGGGCAGGTCTTGAATTGAAACTTCTGCAAAATCCTCAGTAGAGTCATTTTTGTCTCCAACAAACCCATTTTCATGCCAATGCAGCCACGAGGTCCTGCCCCAAAGGGCAGATATGCAAAGGGATGTCGTTTCTTCTTGGCCTCCTCTGTAAACCTAAAAAGTGCAGAGATGGAAACCAGTTCAAGGAATGCTTTTTTTCTCCTGATTCCACGGTTTTCATTTAAATCTCAAAAGACGGTTATTTCAATTGGTATAAATGGACAGGTCAAGGAGACTATTGACAGATTATGCCCTGACATCTTAAGTGAACAGATAACTGACTTTTCAGCCTTTGTCAGCTGGTGATTTCAGGAGAGGACATGCAGACATGAGTATGACTTCCAATCTATCTTTCATGAATTGCGCTCATTCGAGGACCATGCTCAGAAGAATGATAACTTCAGGTGCAGACATGCTAGGGTGACGAGGGACATGTCCCTCACAGCTTTGCACGTGTGAGGGAGACATTACAGCTAAAAGGAAACTAATAGGCTGCATCTTGAACCAGCTAGAATTAGCAACAGCATTCCTTGCTGTGCCCTGCAGATGAAGGTCAACAGGAATTGCTCTTTGAGGCTTGTAAGGGGAGATGAAATCTCATGGCATTGGACAGGCCATGGAAGATGGTTATTACAATTCAGTACAGCCCTTCTCTCTGCTCTTGGCCCAGAGAGACCAGGTTCACAATTGGGAGACATTAAAATTGCACACGGTTCTGTTCTTTGAGCCATCTCAGTACCTCAGTCCAGCTGGGAAGACTGATTAATGTGTCAATCTGTATGCAGATCTGCATAAATTAGTTAGCTTTAAAATACTTGATCAGCCCATTAGAAATGAGCCTTTTTTTTTTTTTTTCCCCTAGGAGGGAAACAAAATTGCTATTTTTTAACAGAAGTTCAAAGGAAAAAAAAGAGTAAAACCTGTTTGCCAACATCTGCAAAGATGAATGCCTATTGGATAGAATATGCACAGGCAAGAATACAGTGTCTGAGTACAAGTTATTAGGGCCAGTGCATAATCAACATGGTCAGGCTAATCCTGGGCTGTATTGAGTCACTACGCAGAGTGGTGCCTCGAAAGAAGCAAACCTTTACAGTGATGGCATCACCCTGGAAATCTACATAATCCTCCCATGTCCTAAGGTATTTGGAGCTCTTCTTGTACTACTGAGCTACTTTTCCAGTTCTGTGCATGTATACAGGTTCTGTACTTCATGTATGGGGTCATCCCTGAAAATCTCTCATGTCTTTCGATATAGTTTGCCAGAACTTCAGACTGCTAAGCCCCAGAGAACTCATGCAGGGTAGAAAGAGATGAGATGTAATACAGGCTTTGGAAAAAAAAAAAAAACCAACTGTATCTTTCCACTAATCCCATCTCCATGCTTAGATATCCTAAAAAGATCAAGTTACTACTCCAAAAAGTACTAGAAAAGCCTGTAATTTGAGACTGAAGGACCATTAACTTATATACTGTTGCATATCTCATCCAAACAGGTTAATGTAATTCTTGCCTTGCTCACCCCCATATATCATTCTAGTAAATTTAAAGTCTGCCTTTTAATCCAAAGGCCAATTTCAAAATTAAATATTAGGGGTAAAAGGGCTGTAGCCAAATTATTTTGTTTTTTGTTAAAAATTTTTTAATTCACTACCAAATGATATAAGCCGAGGAGAATGTTAGTAATTATGCATTATTCCTTAAGGAAGTTTCAAAAGGGAATTAATCTCAGATTCATAACAAACAGCACTGTGTGAGTCCAGGGGAGTGCAGCCCCCACTGTCCATTTTACTCCGCAATGTGCTTTCATACTATCGGTAAAGTGGTGAATAAACAATTAAGAAAATATTTATAGATAAGCATTACTAAAAAAACCCACCCTAGACTTTCAGTTACTGCTAAAATTCCTCTCCACCAAAAGCTCTGGGCTTCTCTAACCCTGAAAATGCTCTTTTTCATGGCCAAAAGAGCCTGACAGAACATATGCTTAGATTTGTTCCAGAAGGAGCATTAGGCAAACCCACCTACGCCATACATGTGTTGTCTTACTGGCAAAGATGGTTCTGGGCTGCCTGCCTCACATCCAGTTGTTTGTGGAGCAGTCACTTTTTTTTACTCAGTAAACTTTTCAGTGTAGTGGCAGCTTAAAATGCATCTGCCCCCAAAACAGTTTAAAAATACAGCTGCCCACAAAACTGAACTGTGCTTCCACACGGTACCACATCAGCTGAAACTCTCCCTACAAGATAGGGCACAGTACAAAACCACAACCAGACAGTGTGCCCCCCATCAGCTGAAGAGAATAAATGCTCCATGTGAAAGCATGTCTTGCCAAGAAAGAACCAAGGATCCTAACCTAAATATGGTGAGCAAATTCCCAGTGGGAGATGGGGTAGGTTCCCCACTCACAGTGGACACACACCATTACAAGATTTCAGATGAAAAGGGTGCTCTAAACCAGCCAGGAGCTGGATGAGTTTCCCAGGTACATCCATGTCAGCGAATATGCTATCTCACTTCAGAATTTCTGCATCCAGAAGAGACATTATTCACAGGACCTGATTTGGAAGTGGGTCTGAAAACCCGTGGCACATTTCAACCTTGATCAAATCTCACACCATCTGTGGGATACGTCATTATTATTGCTTGTCTAATGTGGTCTCAGTAACATAATTTTATGGTCTAAATTGAACTAAATTCCACTCTGGGTGGATATACTGCTTTGGATGAATAGTGGGTGACTGTGACTGTGAAAGAGCAGCAGGATCTGGCGTCTCCACTGGACAGGCTGGAGTTCTGTGCACACCCTAATGCATAAACCCGCATTTAACATTGATCTAAACAGGCCAAATTAAGGACTTCTACCTAAGAATGAAAAGCATTATTCCACATACCTCTCAGGAATAAACTTCTCAGGCTCTGGCCAGAATTCAGGGTTATGGTGGAGGTGTCCAACTGCAGTTTCAATGACAGCCCCAGCTGGAATATGCTGCCCCAGCACTACACAGTCTTTAGCTGCTTCCCGAGTGAATCTGCGATGTCATATATCCCAGACGATTAACAAAGGTTAAAAACACAACAGGAGAGATCTATAAAAGCAAATCTCTTCAGCTGACCCTACAATTTCCAGAGTAACATTTTCTCAGTAGATAAATACAACTGTTGCAGAGGTTAGTGTCTTCTCAGGTGTCCTCTCCAGTTAGAAGCCCATAGCTCCAGCCCAGATAGCTAATTTTTGCCCTTTTCATAGGAAAGATTTTCTGACTATGTAACATTGTCCAAAGCAATAACTGTTAAATTGCAACTTTACTGTGAATGTTGGATTTAGACTAATTTATTATGAAAATTGCTGATGAGATGTATCTATAATCTCTAATTAAACAAGTACAAAGAATATGCTGATTTGCTTTCAGGGGAAAAAAAAAAGGATAGCAAATATAGTTTTGAGTTTGTTTATTTGAGAAGCTCCCCCATGTTGGCACAGTACCTGAAACTTAGTAAGAGATGGTTTTAGTATTAGGGCTAGATGTTCTGCTGCAGCTGCTACTACAAAAATACATTTAATTCATAAGCTTTGGAAAACCTCATTTCACATACACCCATCAAAAACAGGCATGACGTTAGCAAAAAAACTGCAGTTTCCTCCCACCCCCTGGTGACAGGTGACAGAGTAGGACTGTCCTGAGGAACCTTACTGGGACAAGAAGACTGAAAAAAGCCGCCTACCAAAGCCAAGGCGTGAGTCTGTAAACCTTACAAAAAATTGTGTGTGGGTGTGCATGTGTGGTGGTAGGTTCTGATCTAGAACTTTTAGTGCTTCAGTGGTCACTACAGATCCCAAATCAACCCAGAGCCAGGTGGGTGCCCTGCTACGTCAGTCTGGGAGCTAGGTATTCCCTGGCACCAGCTGTGAACACAGGGGCAAGACACTGTGCAGGAGCTCCCTTTCCTGCTTCCCACGCTCTGCTTAAAATGTTGAACAAAGATTACAGTTTTAGGGCTGTCAGTCTGGTATCATCACAGAAACACATTCTTTCCTCGCTGTCACCCATCTCTCTTTCTCACAGACAAATAAATAACAAAGGCTCCAAGCCTGCAACAAAACACCAGCATGCTAAAAAGTGCTAACTCAGCATTACCATTGTCATAGGCAATTAACATCTTTCAGAGGCACTGGGCTGTCCTATCCATTCCACATCCATCAGAGCAAACGCCAGATCAATAAACACCACTGAAAATGCCAACCAAAATTTCAGAATAACTTTACTCCATTCTCATTCTGTTTCCCATCTGACAAAACTCAAAGACCCCTGTTGCTTTAACCAGCAAAACCGTTTTCACTTATGTACCATGTATAACACAGTAAAGCCCCATCATCTTATCTCAGAGCAAATATCTTTGACATTTCTTCTCTGAACAATCCTGCAGATGTCCTGCAGAAAAAAATCTTGACTTCCAATCTTTGTGAACATATAGAAGAGAATATGATTTAAAGTTTTTCTATTTTAAGGTGTGTGCAATCATGAGTTAAATTTTTCAAAGGTTCTCACAGCAAGCTCAGCTTTGGCTCCTTTCCAATCATCTGAATTTTTCCTCCAGCTTCACGAGAAGCAGTGCAATGGGCTGATCACTTTGAAAAGTTCCATTCTTTAACATTTGTATTTATACTTGTGATAAGTCAGAACTTCAACAATCTAACAATTTTTTAACTTCTTTTTGCCTTGTTTTCAGTTCATCAGCACAGTAGAATTAGTCTTGTGTGAATTGGGACAAAACTTTCAGACATTAATTTCAGATATTGCCATTAGTTTAGCTATGTTAATATAATGCAGTACTAAGTGAAAATGGGCCGAAGTTAAACACACATGTAAAATACAAATTTCTGGATGTGCAACCCTCGACAGATCAGGGCCTTAATGACCAACAAGCTGGGGTAGGTCTTTGGTCTGTATCTCTGAAGCCTGAGGTACACAGAAGAAGCAGCATCTGGCTTTCTAAGGCCAGGTCTGCTTCAAAATGGCCCCATCCTCTAACCTTGGGGGACTTGAAATATGGTGAGGAAGCAACCTTGGCCAATCCACTGTAAAAAAGCACTTTAGAAATACCAGAATTAGCCAGCTTTCCTTCAATGGGTCGCATTATATCTTTCAAATGCACAAAGCAGTATTGATGTTGGCACAGAGACGAAGAGACCATAGGTCTTCCAACAACAGATTTCCATTTTTACAGAGCTAGGGAGCTATCCTGTGGAATCAGAAGTAAAAAAACCCCAGATACCTGAAAGCAGGTGGGTACATGCGCAATGTCTCTGCAATCACCATATCCAGATAAGGAAGTTCTTGTACATTTTGGTAATCAGGGACCATCTGAAGGGGCAAGAAGAGAGGAACAATTATATTTTCTCATATTTAAGAGCCAAAATCATCTCAGATTAGCTTTTAAATCATCTATTTTTTACTGGGCATCTTTCCTGTAGAAGAACTCGATGTCTTATCTAAAACAGTAAATGATAAAATTATACAAAAATGTGGGCAGTAATTAAATGTGTGTATAACATTCCTTTCATCATCAAAATGCTTTGGTGCACAGTCCAGATGAAGATATAATAATAAATCAACTTGCTAGGAAGTATTAAAAACAGGGCATTACACAGAGCATTAATAGCTACAACAGAGCTATTGCTTTATATGTGCACCAAAATCTGCACAGCACCCTCGTTTCTTCCCAAAGACAGAAGCACGGCTCACACCTCATTCACAAGAAACAACAAGTCCAGCAGTTACTCTTGATGATGTTGGAACAAACCCTTTGCCCCTTACCAGTTGTAGAAATAAAGCAAAGAGCTAGTGCTGTGATGCCTGTGGAGGGGTGGAAATGGCACTGGAGGAAATGGGCACCCCGATGAGGAACAGCAGGCAGTGGCAAATTGCTCTGCCAAGAAGTGGGGGTGTAATAGTGCCTGGGTAGAGAAGCCTATTTCCTCGTGCGGTCACCCCTTGCTTGATGTTTAATTCTGTGTGGTGATCGATGCCTGTACCCACGTTTTCATAAGTCTACAAAGCCTCCCAGCCCTTGACAATGAGTGGTGGGCACTAAAACCTGAACAGGGCTGTAGCTCAGAAGACTTTTCCCTCTGACTGGTAGCGAAGAGACAGTAAGAGACATCAAACCACAGTGACAGAACAGTCAGCAGCATGGATAAACAGCAGCAGTGACAGAACTCAGTGCATGGATAAACAGGGAACTTCCTCCAATGTAACCTTCCTTGGAAAGACGATATTTTCCCTGTCTTATTCAATGCTCTCAGCAGAGGGCAGCCAAAGAACATCGAATAACCTCATCAGGAAAGTGGAGTTTTGTTTTAAATTAGAGCATCTCCTGAAGACTGACACAGAGTAAATTGGAGAAAAGCACAGACGTCAGACTAGACTAAACCTTTTATGAAGATTTGGGGCCCCTGCCGTTCACAAAGGGGACTGGATTCCATCCTTCCTTTATTTACTACAGCACTTTTCATGTATAATGCATATTTTATTGAATTTTCATGCAAAAACATATGGTACATACTGAAAATACTAAGCAGAGAACAACTCCAGATGGTATGCAGAAAAGGCGTACAATAGAACAAGGATACCTTGCTGGATTAGGGTATCCCACTTATTCAGCACTAAGCCACCACGCACCATTTCACATTAGCTGATCTTTTCTAGGAAGGAAACAGATACATTCTATTATCCCCATTTTTTGGCTCAGGAAAGGAAAGCAAAACCAGAGCAAATAATTTGCACAGGCTGAACAGAACCAGCGTGTTTTCTCCTCTCTTAGGGAAAAAGATGCAACTCAGCTTATCAATAGATGAAGTATTTTGTCAGTATATGTCAAATATTACCAATACAGGACGTATGGACTGCACTGACAGCATTTTTTATATTGCAGTGGTGCCTGTTAACTCAAACCTTTGGCTTCAGCCAATGGTTATCAGACAAAGGACTAGGATACTTAAAAGCCAAAAATGGTCACAATGTCGTGAGAACCATGGCTGAAGGCTGTGTGAGGAACTGTGCTCCAATAATGTCAGTGGCTAAAACCAAAAAACCAACAACAGGAGGATGATTTTTATCATCCTTGTTTTGCAGAAAGAGATCTGCGGGCTATGTAACTTTGGAGGGTTGGGTGGTGGATGGGAGGTGGATAGGAATCAATAGCAGAGGCTGGAAATGCAGATTCAAATTTCAAGCCTCCACGGCAATACTACCCTCCTCCATGCCCACATAGATGGTCCACTCTTTGATGCAAACGCATGCTGTAGTGGGTATTCTTTTATTTTTTTCTGCTAATTTTACAATTGTCTTTCAGAACATTACTCTGTTATTTTTATAGTGTTTTCCTGCATGTCTTTGAATCCTGGGTAAGCATCTGAGTCTCTGCAATCCATCCTGATTTCATGGCCAGGCTGGCTGAGGGAAGAGTTCTGGATCAGAGAAAATGAGTGGAGGAGCCAAGAGCACACCAAGATGTGTTCGATTCTCTGAACCATGCTCTTTCCACTGGGCCTTTCTGTCTCTCTCATAATCCCTCTACTTACTTCTGGAGTCAATAATTAAGATAATTATACGGTAACCTGATATAATAAGTAGCCACTAAATCAAACCATACATCAGCAAATAATATAACACTAAATTATTGGAGCTTTGATTTGCTCTTTCAAATAGCTTCTGTACCTTCAGGGGATTAGCAGTTCAGAAAACAAAACAAAGGTGTAAAACCAGCTGATTTTCCTTAAAAGAAAATTGTTTTTGCTTACATAAAGAGGGGTCAGTCAAATGGCAGCAGAGTGAACTCTGCTATCGTGAGCACAACAGACACATCAGACATTTCCTACATCTGATGCAACTTAATTATTGGCACTTCCATGCTTTTAGCATCAAAGTAGCTGGACCTAATTTAGTAGTTGTTTGCAAGGTCTGACCTACAGCTGCGTAAAGTACACACCAGCCAAGCATCTCTGTTTAGGAAGGACAGTTTGTTGCTTTTTTTTCCCTTTCAAAGAAAATATTTTCCATTTGTTTTTCCACTCCCTCTCTTAAAAATATGCCTTTAGCCTAGCACATTTCAAAGGAATGTA